ATTACATGGTATTATATGTGCGTCAAAGGCAAAACGTCCTTTCTCTAAGTTGCGAATTCTTGACATCTCCCATAATGAGTTCACTGGACCTTTGCCAATTGAATATTTAGTGCATATGAAAGCCATGATGAATGTGAGTGACGATGATTGTGAAAGAAAATGTCCATATTATGCACTTAGTTTGACACTTATGCTGAAAGGGTTTGAATATGAGTCATCAAGTATTCGAAAAACTTATACAAGCATCGACCTGTCCAACAACAAATTTCAAGGAGAGATTCCAAGTTCTATCAAAAAGTTTTAGTTCTTACAGTCTCTAAACTTATCTTATAACAGTTTGACAGGTCCTATCCCCTCATCGCTTGGAAATTTGACTTCGCTGGAATCATTGGACCTTTGTGCAAACCAACTGACAGGAGAGATTCCTTGGCAGCTGACATGGTTGACGTCCTTATCCGTCTTTAACCTTTTGTACAATCATCTTGTTGGGCCAATACCTGTGCAAGGGCAACTTCTTACATTTGATAACAGTTCATATATCGGCAACTCAGAATTATGTGGACTACCATTGACGAAGAAATGTATAAATGGCGAAGAGGTGCAGCCAAAGCTTCCAATGCTGCCAGAAGAAGACGATTCCAGTATTTTGGATGGACTCACCTGGCAAGTCGTCCTCTTGGGTTATGGATGTGGAATTCTATTCGGTCTAGTTGCAGGACATTTGATCTTTAAATATGAAAAGCCAAGATGGTTTGTAGAATTTGTGTATGGAGTTCTATATGAAATAAGGAGAATCATAAGACGTAAGAAGATTGTTCCAGATAACAGGGTGAAGAAATAAGGTGGTTTTGGAATTATTTTTGCTAGTCTACTATCATATGTCCATAGTATTTCTCTTATGATTTTCAATAAAACATGATGTAAATAAGTATTTTATTGAATTTAATTTTGTAGTGATTTTATTGCTTCTATTTATCTATTCAGTCTCCACTTGATAAGACATATTAAATGTGACTCATAAATGCAGAGAATTTATGGCTTGGCATTCTTACTTAGCCTTGAATATTTGCATTATATTTATAGCTGTACATTTTAACCGTAATACACGATTGTGGGGGAAATATAAGATATTTATCTAGCTGGAAATGCTTGAAATAGATTGGACTCTTTGAGGCACCATCAAATTTTCTGTCAAAGTATCTGATGGTCTAACAGAAAGAATAAGAATAGAAAAATTGCGTAAATTATACTACGATCAAGGATAAAGAATCAACTTAACTTGGAAAATTAGTGAACCGCTCAAACTTTTTGATCTTATGCTTGAGATGTTAAAAAAAAAAAGAAAGAAAGAAGGGAGTTCAATTTACACATAAGGTTGATTTTTATTTAACAAAAGAAAAGGCACCCTCAAATCTATTTCTTACTGGGCTTGGCTTTTTAGTCCATTTATCAATAAAGAAAAATTGCCAATCAAATTGGAGATGCGGGGTATCGATCCCGTACCTCTCGCATGCTAAGCAAGCGCTCTACCATCTGAGCTACATCCTCAGAGGTTAAAAAAAAAAAGAAAGAAAGAAGGGAGTTCAATTTACACATAAGGTTGATTTTTATTTAACAAAAGAAAAGGCACCCTCAAATCTATTTCTTACTGGGCTTGGCTTTTTAGTCCATTTATCAATAAAGAAAAATTGCCAATCAAATTGGAGATGCGGGGTATCGATCCCGTACCTCTCGCATGCTAAGCAAGCGCTCTACCATCTGAGCTACATCCTCAGAGGGACTAAACTTAGACAAAATTTTATAGATTGTATATTTATGTCCAGTAACTAGCTAGTCACCCTCCATCCTAGTTAGTTGAAGTCCAAGTTTTCAAGCAAAACAGAATCCATCTCGAAGACAAAGAAATGCAGCATCAAATTAAAATAAATAAAAACCATATGCAAGTGCAACACACGGCTGCCCACTTCTCACCACTGCGTATAAGTTCAATTTAATACCCTCTGGTTGCGGTGGGACCATTTTTTCATGCCCACTTGTGACCCGTCTATTGGGGGCCACCCTTTGCTGCCTCTCGCCCCAACTCACCAAACCCCTCATACTCTCTTCAAGGCAATTGGGCGATCCAAGAGAAGCCCCGTCTGGCACACTTATCAAGCAATTGATTTTTATCTATTGAAACGAAGTACATGTCGAATTTATTTTTAACTTGAAGTTAGCTCTTGGTTCTACTCTTATCAAATTTTTGATGTTTAGAAGATACTAGTCATAGTTAAGGTGCAACGCATGATAATTTTTAATTTTATTTATGTCCGGTAAAAATGTTACTTATTGCTGAAAGATTGATGAAATCACAAATATATATTAAGAGAAATCAAAAATAATTTAATATTAGTAAATTTACTATCACGATAACAAAAAAGTAACATTTCTTTAAAAATTTAAAAAAATAATAAGTCATAATATCCGTCTAATCGTATGCATTATAATGTCTTTCGATTCTCATTTTCTTCAATAGTCAAATTTCAATGTCTAATGTAACCACTCTTTAGGATATTGTACATAGTATTATTAATTTAGTTCTACTAAACTTAAAATTTTAGATTTTAGAATACATATTCAAAGTTTTGAGATATAGTTCATGCATAATACAAAAATTTAACAAAAATAAAAAATAAAAAATAAAAAATCCAAAAGACACTTATCATTTGACAATTATTACATTTTTTAAATGGCATCTAACGTTCTACAAAAGCATTAACAAAATCATTCAAACAAATATTCAAAAAAAAAAAAGGGCAAAGTCAAAACATCATTAAATCCATCAAAAAACATTAACGCAATCTCAAATAGGGAAAAAATAGTTGATACGTACTAACATGTAAATAATAAATCAAAGTACAGAAAATACATTTTTGAAGACACCTCTTTTATTTTACGAATTTCAGAAATCGTAACGAAAAATCTTCATATTTTAAACAATGACCTAATCACCAAAACTTTCATCTTCCATCTTGGACCGCGGCTCATTTCTTCTCAATATCGGATTTGTCAATTTTCAAGTGTCGTACGAGCAATTTATAATGATTATGAGAACAATTTACATAATCTTACTAAACCACATGCAAGTATATTCTTCTTCCTTAAACATGTGAATCCTTAAAAGTCCGTTTGATTGCAAAAATAGAATTGAACTGAATTAAAAATGAATTTCGGTGAATTCAATTGCCTAGAAATTATTTTATTGGGAATTGTAAATTATTGTATTTGATTGGTATAATTTTTCACGTGAAAAATGTTGAAATAAAAAGTATTTTTTGCTGTTCGTTTGGCTTTGTTTTATATAAAAATTGTCAATTAAAGAGATAGATTTTACTAGTATTGAAGATGAAATTTGTTTTCATTGAACAAAAAAAAAAAGAATTCAAGAAATTCAAGAAAATCATCTATCTTTTGGTATTCCTTTGACTTTGTTTTACATGAAAATTGTTAATTAAAGAGAAATATTTATTTTACAATAATTCTTAAAATTTCTTCCCACTGTCAACACAAAAAAAAAATAACAAATAAATAAATAAATCGCTACAGTGGCCTGTAATTTGAATTTTCACCAATGTGGTGAGAATTCGAATTCCATGACAACATGAAAAATTGCTAGTTCCCGAGAAAAATAAGAAAACTAATTCCTTGGAAAAAAAAAAGGCTATCAAACAGACAAAAAGATGAAAAATGGAATTGATTTTCCATTTTTCATGGAAAACTTGGTACAATCAAACAGGGCCTAAATATATTTGGTTAATACATACCTCGGCAAAGATTGCTGCCACCTCTGAAACTGTTCTTAAAAGATCTGGGACTAATATTAACTATTAGCACCATATCTTAGAACTATAAACATACCTACAGGAATGATCCATCTGTAGTTTAAAACAAAATATCAAAATCTCAAAATATTTTTGTGGGATATTATTCTATCTAAGAATAAGAACAATTAAGAATTTCCCTTTCGGGAAGAAAAGAAAATTAAAACATCTTTGAGATAACTCAAGGCTTTGTATTGTATAAATTTTCTTGTGTGTTTACAAATGAAAGAATGATCTCCTTTTATAGGAGAAAAAAGAGAAAGGAAGCGTTTTTCAAAAGCAAGGAATCTTTGCTTTTTTCAAAACGTCAAAAAGAAAACAGTAAAAAGCTATACTATCAAATCTTACTTTATAAAACAGTAAGATTCTTTACAAATTTTTCAAAAAGAAAACAGTAAAAATCTACTTTTCATACAATAATTCTTGAGATTTCTTGAATTCGGGACACAAAAGTCTTGGATTGATTGAGTCAAATCTGAAAAACTCTTGTCTTTTTTCCAAATGTCTGAGTAATTTCTTATCTTGTTGCATAATTGTGTCTGCCAATACTGTCTAAAGAATCTCCTCCGTCAGTACATCCATCTGGATTGTCTTCTTCTGAATTATTGTCTTCAAAATTATCCAAATCTTTTTCTTGTTCAATTTTCTTTTTACCTTTATTTTTCTTTTTAATCTGTATTTTCTTTTTCTTTGTAGTACTTTGTTTAACTTGCTGCTGTATTTCTTCGATCTTTTCAAACATTTCTTTGATTCTTCTGATGTCTGATTGAGAAATCTGTTCTGGATCTTGAGCTGATTGAAATGATTCTGGAAGGTTAATTGGGCTTTTCTGTTTAAGGTCCATTGGACTTATAAGTCTAATAATAGAATTTCCAGT